AGGGTCCGACCCTCGATGGGTGCGCTCCCGCCTCCCTCTATTAAAGTTACGGCTCTGTTCTCTATCCTTACTCCAAAAATTCGAGAAGCTGAGGTATTATGTACAGCGTCCTCCTCTTTTTCCGAAATACACCGACCTACTACGAATGAGCGTGCTCCCGCTGGTCTCCTCTACTCCACCTAATCTTCTATCCTGCATTTTCCCTCTTTCTAAACCCCAAAATGTCCCTCTGCCGCTCTTATGGTTGCGTTCTTCCCGACTTTGTTAAAACGTAAACACCCATAGTGTAACGAGCTGAGCCCGAGGTCACATGACTAGGCTGCTGGCCTAGTCGCTTCATTCCCTTCTGTCCCTCACCTTGCCTCAGCAGCACGCGGACCGTGCGTCAACCCAAACAAAAGCTGAATGGCCGCCCACTTTCTTCTTCTCTTCATCTCGACTGTAAATAGCATCTGGACTAGGTAGCTGGAATACAGTACCTACAGACCGTTCACACATAGTAAATGGTTGTATTCTCGCCACTCTCTCTTACTCCGCCCATATTTCTTCTCTCTATCCCTATTCCTTCTTCTTTCTGAAATACAAAATCAAAGATGTCCAGTGCATGACTGCGTCCTCCTCTTTTTCTAACAAATTTGTATTATAAAGTATGAGTGCGCTCCTACCTTCCTCTACTTATAGCCTCTATTCTTTCTCTTTCACCCCTCTTCTTCACAAAAACGACAGATGTAGCACCTGTTGGCGACGTTCTCCCCCTCATTTCTTAAAAGTTCGAGAAACGAAGACGGATGAGCGTTCTCGGTCTTCTTCTACTTATAAACTCTATCCTTTTTACTTCTTGTTCCTTACTCTTTACAAAAAACGATGGATGTGCACCCATGGACGGCGATCTCCCCTGCCTTTCCTAAAAATGCCGAAGAAAACAGCATATGAGCGTGCTCCCGCCTTCCCATACTTCTTAACTCTATCGTTTCTTCTTCTTCTTCCCTACTATTCTTGAAAATTGACATAACACCAATGGACAACGTTCTCCCCTACCTTCCTAAAAACGCAAACTGCTTTGGAGTTGAGTGTGCTCCTACCTCTCTCTTTTACTCCTCCCACACTTATATCCTCCACTCTTCCTTCTCTCTTCCCTCCTCACAAAACTGCACGACCGGGATGGCAAAGGTCTCGTTCTCTCCTCGCTTTCAAATAAGAAGAACTACAATGTATGAGTGTGTTTTTTCGCCTTCTACCTACATAATCCTACCCATCCTCTATCCTTTCTCCAAAAATATACCACTTAGGCACGATGATTTTGCTCTCTGCCGCCTTTTCTAAAATCCTCGACGATGGCGAACGATGGGTGTGCTCTCGCTCCTTCTCTCTTTTTCCACTGTAAGGGGCTGCGCAAAGTATGCCGGTGCCTGGTAACAGGATTGTATTCGATGAAGAAGAAAGCTATCTGCAGTGCAACGATATCTATATACGTTTGGCTTGTTGTTCACGTAGCTTCTCGAAGCATCTAAAGTGCCGAGGAAGCTCCGAAGGTTCCACCGAGGATCACCATAGCATCTGGGCTCTAGCCCGTTACATCCACTCTTGAAATCTCACCTCTATACGCCTACTCTATCCTTTCTTCAAAAAGCAAATAAAAGATATGGATGTCTCTGTCCTCTGTTCTCTCTCTCTCTTTCTAAAAACCTCGATATTGCTGAACGATGAGTGTGTTTAGACCCGTGGCCCCCTCTTCTATCCTAGAAATTTCACCTATATAAACACAGGCACCCCATTAGCCATGTCCTTCCTCCTTCCTTGCTCTCTTCTTTCTTATCGAAAATCTGTGATATGGCATTGATGACTTTTTGCTGCC